ACCCCCCCCCAGCCCATTTCGATCTACTGACTTACATTCGATTTTTACGTGCTGTATTGTGTGTGTGTGTGTGTGGCAGGGGAAGGGGGAGAGCATCACGGGGCTGCAGGATCCTGCCCGTTCCTGCCCGTGGGGAGGGGGGCAGGCAGCGATGCGGTCACGCGGATCAGTGCTGGTAACATAAGGGCAAAAACCTCTGCTCCTAGACGATGGTCAGTAGTGTTTTCACAAAGCCATGAAACTTTTTTTTTCCTCTGTAGTGTTGAGTGATACTGTGATTAAAATGTTCTTGAATGATTCCAAGATTTTTTTTTTTTTCTCTTTCTTCTGTCATTAATTCTTATTACCACTTTGGAAAAAGAATGAAAAAGAAAAAAAAAAAAAAAAAAAAGGCAGCTTTGATTTCCAAATGTGCAATTCACATGTGAACAAAGTAATTCTGAAAGTAATCCTCAATGTATTTTACATCCTCGTTGCTCTCTTCAAAGCAAGAGATGTTTTGCCCTGATGTCATTTCCAGCCTGCAGAAGATGTAATTTAAAACATATATATATTGTGCTTGCAAAAATCATAAATCTGTGCATCCCATGTCATTCCTTTTCCCATTGTTACAATACAGATATGATTTAGGGTTTGTTTTTTGGTTGTTTTTTTTTTTTTTTCTTTAGAACTGTATAGTGTTTTTTTTAAATCAATTGTAAATGTCTGGTTTTCATATAATGTTTAAAAAACATTGAGAAAGAGGATGGTGCTTGTTCCATATCATTCTTGATTGTATATTGCTTCTGTTATGTTTATAAGTAAACTGTGCATGACTTGTGTTTAGCAGTCATTATTGTGTCCGTTTGTGAAATTTTTATTAAAAAGAAAAAAATTCCGTAGATGCACTTATTGTATATGTGATTAGATTTTGCGTCCGAGGCTAGAAGCCTTGAACTGCCAAGGAAGGAAAAAAAAAAAGAAAAAAAAAGAAAAAAAAAAAAAAAAAGGTGTTGGCAGTTATTAATTAATATGAAATCGCTTTGTTGGGAGCATAATGAAATAAAAGATATGAAGTGTAGAAAATAATTAAAAAGGCGATTTTACAAATTTCATTTTGATGCTTGTGATAAAGGACAAATGTACTTGTGTAGAGAAATTCCTTTAAAATAATGAATAGAAGAAGCTGATTTTGAGGTTAATGCTGTAGAATAGGAATGTATACCAAATGTAATCTTTCCAATGCTACAATGAATTTATACATGAGATTGATATGCAATAAACCTGTGTGCTTTTATAAGCAATGGTCCTGTGAGAATTTTTTTTCCTGGAGCAAGGGGAGAGACCCGGCACCGTGCGCAGTAGCGGGGTGTCGGGGTGGGTCCTGCTCTCGCTTTGCTCTGAGGTGAAGCGTGGGACGGGCAGGAGCTGGGGGTAGGAATGGGGGCTTGGAGCGGGTCGAGGCTGTTGGACTGGAACAATCTGATGAAAAAGTGGATTTCGGAACTGTTCTAGTCTGCAAAAAATCACCGCTTTTATTCCTCCTCTGCCCAAATGGCTGGTTCGGACGGGCCGCCGCGGCTCTGCAGCGCTTCCCGGCCCTGCCCAGGTCACCGAGGGGCTGGTGTAGGGGGACGCGGGGTGGAGGGGCCCCTCCTGCACGGGAAGGGACCCCCGAGCCCGCAGAACCTTCCCTTCTTGGATAACGTGGCGCGACGCCCACCAGCCCTCGGCGGGAACTTTGCTGTCAGGTATTCGAGATGCTTGGTTTGTCCTGCGTCAACAGAGTGATGGACACCCCTGGGTGCTGAGGGCCAGAGGGACCCGGTCGCACCCCGCAGCAGGGATGTTTGCTGGGGACTTTGCACAGGGAAGAGCTCCATCTTTCTGGGGCGGAGGAACAGGTAGGACAAGGCATTAGCGTCTAAAAAGGTCAAGAATCTTTCACAACAAGGAGCTGAGAGTTAGCGAACTATCATAGCGGTCAGGACGGTTCAGCGGGGGCCCTGGGAGCAAAAATGACTTGAAAGCAGAGTCTTTGAGCTAACAACACGCATTACAAAACTGATGAATGGTCGCCGCTTCAAAAAGTCATTCATCGTGATCAAATGATGGGATCCTACATGCAGCATAATGGCCCTTCCCTGGAGTTTGCCTTGTGAGGGTTTCAGTCTTAGCTGAACTCTTGAGTGGAAACCCTCCGCCTCTCCCTGACGGCTGGCAACCTTTCTCCTTATTAGCCCTGGAGGGAAAGGAGCAAAATCTATCGGATAAGAAAGCTCTGATAATAGAGCGATTGTCAGGCTGGCCTCTGAGAGAAGAGAACAGAGTCTTTTAAAAGAATATTGCTGACAAGCGGACTTTGTTATCCAGAAAGCACTTGAGATTCACCATAAACCAGCGAGAAAAAGGCGCTTTTTTTTTTTTTTTTTTTTTTTTTTTGGGGGGGGGTGGAGGGAGTGGGGTGCGAAATCAGAGCAGGAGACAAAAGAGAAGGTCAAGGAAAAAGTCTGTTCCCAGTAAATACAGAGCGCTGCTGAGCCTGGCCTTGCTGGGCACCCGCGTTCCTGCCGGCAGCCCGACCCTCCGATCCTCTCCCCCGGGCGCTGCATCCCCCGGCAGCGCGTGCGGCACCAAAACCCCCGAAACTGGTGATTTTTTGCACCCAGAGGGACACACCTGGGGGCACCTGAGCTGCCGCGGCTTTAGCGAGGATCAGTCCCGGAATTACCCGAGGGCGGGAGCCTGAGGACAGGCGGAGGCGCGGTGGTTTGTCACGGGAGGGGAATCCTGTGACCTTCAGTGACCTTGGTGGGGGTTTCGGGGCTGGGTGAGCCCGACCCAGGGCAGCGGCGCTGGGCGAGCCGCTTCTTGAAGAAAGGGCAAGAAGCAGGGGGAAAAAAAAAATAAAATAAATTTTTGGTTAAGTTTAGCCCACTCCCCAGCCCTGTTAGGCTCAGAGGGCCCGGGGTACCGGCTGCCGGGGGCAGCGTCAGGGAACCGGAGCCCCCCCAGCCCCTGCCGCGGCCCGGCCCGGCGCTAAACCCGACCCTGGCGCTA